CATTGAACACATCATATATATATAACTTATCTTATACTTATCTTCAGTGTCGGACTAACGCGTTACAAAGCAACGCATTACAAGTAACGCGTTACTATAACGACGTTATTGTTGGCGGTAACTAGTACTCTAACGCATTACTTTTTAAATTCAGTATCTCAGTTACCGTTACTACATGGTGCGTTACTCCGTTACTGCGTTAGTTTTTATATAGTCAACAGCCAGGCGAACAGAGATGTTAACTGTACTGTACAGTACTTGAGTAAATGTACTTAGATACTTCCTGTGTCACATGCGGAGACGCGCTGTGGGCGTGTTTGTGTTGTTTACTAACAAGACTATCATGGCGGCGGCGGAGCTCAAGTCTAGTTTCTCCACCTGGAGATATTCTCACTATTTCACTTTTGTCGAGCACAAAGAAAAGAACGTTTTAGTTAAATGTAAGTTGTGTCTTGGCGGGTCAAAGATCCTATCTACTGCCCAAACCAGTCATTCAAATCTCTTAAAACATCTGCAAAAACAACATGCTGGGACGAAGCTAGTAGCTAAGACCACAGAGACTCAGCCGACGCCACTCCACCTCCACCTAAGCAACAGCGGCTGGATTGTAACCAAGGGACTGCTAGCCAGGGAAAAGTCGATAAAGCCATTGCACGGTATGTTGTAGAACACATGCAGGCTATTGCTACAGTGGAGTCACCCGCTTTCAGGGAGCTAGTTAGCATGATAGCATGTCCGGGCGGGACACGGCATATGGGACGGAACACTTTTTCCAACTACCTGGAGAAAGAATATACAAAAATGGAAAGCCAGCTAATATCGATGCAATCCAGATTGCATATAATGCATGTCAAGTTGATCAACAGATTGTATTATTCTCCAATGCAATAACAGTACTGAAAGGAAGGCTATAAGGGCATTAATGGGAGCCCTTTTGAAAAGTAACTAAAACGTTACTTTTCACAGTAACGCATTACTTTTGGGTGTAAGTGATCAGAAAAGTAACTGAGTTACTTTTGAAATGAAGTAACTAGTAATGGTAACTAGTTACTGGTTTTCAGTAACTAGCACAACACTGCTCGGAAGACATGTGCTACCAAGCAAGCGTCCTCGACATTGAGAAACACCCACAGTATCCGACTGCAGCTGACACGACTCAAGAAGATGCTAACTTGATGTAAATGATGACTGGCATCAGGCCATTAGAAGCCCATTTTCTGTGTGCTTTTTGGCAGTGTCCTTCATATCCATTAGACACAGAGAGGTTTGTCCGGTTGAGTTGAGGGGAATAAAATAAAGTCAAAACTCATTAAAGCAGTCCAGGTATTCTTTTAGCTCTGCCAAGCATGCATTAAATAATTTGCATTCCATCACAGTGTTTGATATCACTCTGGTGAGGTTGCTTACAGTAGAAACATCTCGACAAGCATGTTTAATGTTGTTATTCTAATTACTGAGCAACTGCAGTCCAAGTTTAAACCACACTTTGACATGTTTCACACGTTTCACACTGCACCAAGGATTTATACCTTCCTTAATATGAAATCAGTCAATAACGCTGGACACCAAAGCCAGCACACATCTTAAATGCTGATTGTGCTCACTGTCAGCAGAAAGCAGGAGCTGACTGGCTGTGGCAGGAAGGGGCTGTTGGAATCCTAATTAGAGCTCCATATCACATACACCGAATACAGCTGGTATATTAAAACGACTTAATTATTGAAAAGGAACTGAGACTCAGTGGGTCAATGCGCTTCAATGTATATCAAAGTAGTGGTGCTTCCCTGAATTCTGTTAAAGCACTAAAACTTTCCCCGTCCTGTGTATTATATGATTTTCGGTAAGCACAGATTTAAGTTGATGTGCCTTGGCAAAACTCAACTGCTATAATGCAGGTTTTAGAATTTGACTTTAATACTATGAAAGAGACCACCAGGATTATGTAAACACTCCCAAACTGAATAATTCAAATGATTACGAAGCTACTGGTATTTCAAGAAATTATAATTGTTTCTTTCTGCTGCTTCTACAGTATATGTTTCATATTATTGAATATTGAAAATGTCCTTGTTTTTTTGATGATGCCACATTGGACTGTGGAAGCTTGCAGTGGGCATTATTAACAATGTTTCAATATTTTGTATACCCGATTATAGCATTGACAGCATGTTATGGAAGCATTTTGTCTCAGTTAAAACGTAGTCCTTGCCTTTCTTTATGCTTGTGCTTCCTAGCCTTAGCCCTATGGGGCTAAGGCTTCCTTGTCAGAGCTGACAGGCCATGCTAGGAAGGCTGTATAATCATGAGGAACTCAGAACATGGACTACAGGGTTAACAACATATCTGGTTCCTCCTTCTCTTTGGTGATTTCTGTTAAGTGCACACAGTTTCCCTCTCCCCAAGTCACAGTCCTTTGGCCACCAGAAATACCACGGACAGATATGATGTACTACAGGGAAACTGTAATGGGATTCATCACGGGTCAAAACCAAAAGCATTGAATTGCCACTCAAGTATAAAAAAGGAAGGTAAAGAAGGCCCTTTTCTAAGTTTTCCCTTGGATACCTACAAATATAATTGATACACTATATTGAGTAAATATAGTTGAGTTTTGGTTAGATTATTTATCTAGCTTTTTTGTTTTTAGTGTTTTAAAACATCTCAGCAGATCAAATAGTTATCAGTCATTTGGTTAAACAATCAACCCACGATGAACCCTCTGTTTATTTGGATGGATTCCCACAAATGAAAATGAAAATATCTACTATGTCATTCTATTAATTAGTTCTAAAAGTGTTATTTTCATAAACAAGTTGGCTCTACAGGATTATTAAAACAGAGTGAATATCTTCATCACAGACACTACAGAGAACTGAGGGTATAAGTCTATCTGTGTTTCAGCCTCTATGCTTTATATTGCAGTGGACCATCATTATAAGCCCTTTGATCCAGGGATATTTTGATGTCCCCACAATCTATATTTAAGCAATAGCTCACGACAGGCCGTGGTATATGCTCATTATATCACAGCTAAGGGCCGTGGTTCGGCCCGACGCGAAGCCACTGAAAACCTGTCCAGCATCAGTAGAATGGCTTACGTGGTTACTTGTATAGGTTGAGGTTGTTCTAGACTGTTGCTTGGCGTGGTCAGAATATTGCTTCACTTTCTCCGGTCCCCGAGATTCAGCTTCCAGTAGCTCTGGAGAGAGCTTTCGCACCTGTGGCCACTAACGGTCATCATTTCTCTGCTTTGTTTCAAGACCCGCATCAGAAAGCTTTTGAATGGTGGTACTTTTCCAGTTGGTCTAGCTGCTCTTCACGTAGCTGAAGTACTGAAAAGTAACTTACAATTCTACCCGTGGTATATCACGGCTAAGAACCAATCAGATTGCTTGATTTGACTTGTCCGTTTTATAACTGTAGATAATCTTTTAATGAAATCTCTTAGCATGTGCAGCACCATGTTCACATTTGAATTGGCCCACTTACTGCAGTGTAAGTGGAGTAGTTTGGTCTTATCAACTTTTTACATCCCCCCCAGTATGGCATATGATTCTAGCTGTAAAGTGCATAGCAGATTCCCTTTGAACAGCCACGGGCCAGATTGAGGCAAAATGTGTTTCTCACAAATGACCAACGAAAAAAGATTGGAAAAAAAGTAGTCAATGATATTTAAAGATAAAAACACAATCTCTGATCTGAATTGAAAATAAGTAGGAATGGAGCCTACGACAGGTCTTTCAATCAAAGACAACAAAAACAATTATTCATATTTTTTGGGTAACCCTGTCAAATATTGGTTTTATTTAAAATCGTTTTAGCACAGCAGCAAAACTTCAGTTTAGATGATGAATAGACCTTTGGGTTTCATCTTCATATCTGTTTTTTGTGAAGACATTAGTGATTTCCATAGTTAGAACATTACAGGTGGCACTTTGAAATGGGCATGCTGTCGAGGCTATCTAATAATGACTGCAAAGAAAACTGATGCTCGATGATAGCTCGGCATTAGGTAATTTAAGTCCCTCATTTAAAATCCTATCTCTCACCAGCAGTTTGTTTTTTTGCCCCCTGACTTCGACAGTGCGTAGGATGCTTACTTTCTCAGCCGCAGTCATTAACACCTCATACTGCAGTGCTGTCTGCCACTCGGAGGAGGCTGGTTCACATTATTCAACATTATGGGAGTCAAATGTTTACAGTTACATAACTAACCCCGAGGACAAAGTGGGGTTCACCACATGCTACTTCCTGTCAAGGCGATGCTTGATGTTGCTGAGTGGTTCCACTTGTTTAAAAGAGATGTCCCCCGCACCTCTACACAAGACAGAGGGATGAGTTGTTGGAGTGGAGGGTGAGGGAGTTTAAAAGCCATAAGGGTGAGGGAGTTTGAATAAGAAAGGGAAAAGCTCTATAATTCAGCAATGTTACAGGAAATACAGAACACCAGCCACCGACATCACACAGCAGACGCCTCTATGATTAGACAGTATTCTTTTGTTCTGATTCACTGTTTTCAACGCTGATTGGCTGTGACATTTTCAATATGAACAGCGATTTGACTTTCAAAGCAGTACATGGAAGCGCAATTTCGCTGCCTTTTATATGTCATGATTGTGATGTATGATGCCCAATTTAGTTTAAAATGGCATAGTCCATTCATAAAAAAACCATAGAAGATGCTGTCCATCATCTGCAAGAGGCATCCAGAGCTTCAATTGTTGGAGGGATGAATCATCCAATTCCCACAATGGAATTTATTTAGTGGTCTTCAAAGGTCTCTACACTATCCAGAGTAATCAGGACAGTATTTATAGGTTGAGATGTTCCTGTTGGTTGTTTTAAATGTCATTTTTCAGAGCTTTACAGCACACAACAAATGTCAATTAATCTTGGCTTAGTCCTTCTCTCAGATTTAACCCCCATAATTAGTGAGATAATGTCCTAATAAAGACATACCATCCATTTGTAATACCATTTCCCTCCCCTGCTGTTTCTAGTATGTGGAGGCCATCAGCAATAAGCAGAGCGAGCTGGACAACTGCATCGCAGAGGGCTACAAGCACGCTCTGTCTGAGGAGAGGAGGAGGTACTGCTTCCTGGTGGACCGGCAGTGTGCCGTCGCCAAGAACAGCAGCGTCTACCACGGCAAGGTGAGAAAGAAAACAGCGCTCCACTTCCTGTTCATCTGCTGGTGATGTCATGGCACAAATCACATCTATAGCTGTTATAGTGCTGAAGTCATTGATTTGTTGATTTCCCCATATAAAAGTGATGCTTTAGATGCTTGAATTATATGTTTATGACAGCATATTTTGGATATATTCTGTCGAAGGAAATGTATATATAGCTATTCAAAAGTCATATTTATCCGGATTTGAAATTAGTCATCTAGCATATTTGTAACCTTCCTTTTAGGTAAAATATTTAGTTGAGCCTCTTTTGTGACTTTATGTTCAGCCAATCACAGAGAAGTAAAAACAGAAAGCTTTCAAATCTACAGCGCAGAAGATTAGATGTTCCTTTGTTGATTCACCATAAGTGAATTTGACTCCACAAGGGAATAAAGTTATCATGAAATAAAATAAATCCATCAAAACGTCTTGTTTTTTTACTGTAAAAGAAATCAGATTTTGTATAGTTGTGGCTCTTTGAAATACAAAATATAGACAGATAGTTAGATCAGTTTAAACCTTATTGGTGCCAGCGAAAGTGTGTTATAGCAAAAACAAAATCAGATGTCACGTAAACTCATTAAAAACACATTTCCAATCAAATGTTAGCAATCAACTGTTTACATTCTGCATTTATAAGTCCATTGCATTCTGGAGAAAGTTGGGCCATGCATCAGAGCCCCTCACTCATCAGGGGTTTCATATCGTCCAGAAATCTTATTAGAAAATCATCTCGTCTCACCTCTTCGCACCGGGGAAATGTGAAATGGTAAAGGGAAGTGAGGGAGGGTGAAGTGGGGGGGCAGCAGGAGAGAGGATGACCTACTTCCTGCAAGAACACTTGGTTCGCTGACTGTGTGGGTGTGAACGTGTCTGAATGAGTGACTGATAGACAGAGGGAAGAAGAGAACACACACTGCTGACATGATGATGCATAAACACAAGATTGAATCAGTATGAAACAACATTCTGAAGATCAGTCAAATCTTAAATATATTATAAAACGTACAAAATAAGGGATAGGAATTTAAAATGGTAGCCACTTTATTGATTGATTATTTGTTTCAGCTTTTCTCTGGTTCTAGTTTGATCTATGTGAAGATTGATGCTTTTTTGTCATATAAGTATATGTAACCAGCTGTCTTTAGGTTTTACAGTGATTTTCCAATGAAAGAAGAATTCTGAAAACATCGTCTTGTCTGCGGGGAATAGGAATATTTAGAACATTTATAGACTGATGATAAATGACTTGATAATGGCAAAAATAATGAGATGCAGCCTTCACTTAGAGTAACTTTTGATCACATAAGTTGCATTATAACAGTGATTAAAAAGACATTTTGTTTTGTGAATTATAATACAGAATGTTCCATAGGGGAGAAAATGTCAGGAAGTCACAAGCAATTAGGAAGTTGTATATAACTTCACCTTATGAGTCATTATTACATACTTTGTATCGTCACGATTGATGTTAAAAGCATTGCAGCTTTAATTAAAAAGAGATACAAGCAGAATACTGTATGTCTATTGTGCATTATAGACATGGGATTACTGTATATAAAGTGGTTCCCTTTGCTTTTGTTAAGGTATTTAATTCATGTTGCATGTTTTCAGAGACATTGCTAGGATGACACTAGGTTGTTGTCATGTCAACCGTAGACGTTCACTAGATTATAACCCAAAGCGACAACAAAATGGGAATTCTGAATTGTACAAAGTAAGTAGTCCATTACCATTTTTCCAATAGTAGAAAGTAAAAACCTTTTGCAATGCAAATGCTTAAAGCTTAGTATCATATACAGTGTACAGAAAAAATGCTAATCCACCTACACTCACGGAATTGGTCGTTTCAGAGTAATCAATTATACATGTTTCATGCTGAATCACTTATTTACATGTTTCATGCTGAATCACTTATTTACATGAATCACATATGCACATCTGATTAAAACACGATTTTAAAAAGGTGCTTTTTTCATGATTCCTTTTGGAGAAATCGATACATCAATTGAATTAAATTGATAAAACTATGTAAGTCAACTGAGAATTGATTTAATTGTGGACAGCTCTAGTTACCATAGATGTCTTTTGAAATGTTTTACGAGAAATACCACTGGTGACTTTGCTATCTTTCCTTGTTGGGTACATTTACATGTTGGCGAATCTCCCACACATTCAGTTCCTGTAGGAGAGAGGTTCTCCTGTGCTAGGCAAGAATGAGGGAGAAAAGAGCCACTGTCTGCTAGTCAATTTCATTATCACACTGGTAAAGGCAGCTTCCCACCTACGCTCTGCCTTAGCGATTCAGAAGGGCTAACTGAGGTCGTGGTGACTCATCATTTTTTTACAAGTAGCAGGAGAACGACTTTGCTGCATAGAAAGAGAAGGGCGGCATCCAATTCCTCGTGTTTTCCACCAATCTAGCCTGAAATTAGTAGAGTTTTTCTGTGACGGAGAAATCATTACAGCTCTAACCTGAATCCCAGGTGACATAAGGCTCAGTGTTGGTATGAGTTTGTGTTTGCTGTATATTTGTGTTAATTTATTTGATCATCCCACCCACACTGTGATACCTGAAGCTCCCGCCCACACACTCTCAGAAAACCTTGGCCCCTCACCGTGATTATCCTCCTCTCCATCCTGCTGGAGTTAAAAGTGTTCCAGCAGCGGATTCTCTATACTTCAAATATTCATGGGTTCAGAACTCCTCATTTGTTCCATGTTGATGAATGCTAATGAGAAGTATCTTTATGTAACTGCGCTACGCATTCATAAATAGGTTTCATATCCTCCATCTCATCTCTCTGCTGATGTGTACTGTATGTTCCTCCACTCCTCCCTTTTAAGCTCTCCTCTCGTCCTGTCATCCATCAAATACTGCTGCTGAACTGTACACAATGTGATGTTGATGTCCATAGGGAAAGTCCATCAAACATTTACAAAGACACTTCTACCTCCTGATGTTGCATATCTTTTTTCTACGGGGCCAACAGACGAGTGATTCATGTGGTACACTTATTAAAGAGGAATTAGCATTGTGGGATGGGGAATGCGTTTCCTCTTTAATATTGTTATGAACAATGTTCCGTTTTCTTTTAATAGAAAATGTGACAAATCATATGAATTAAAATAAATGCTTTATCGATTGATATTCTAAAAGTAATTTGAGTATTTAAGTATGTAAACATTAAAATGTTAAATGATAACAATACGACACAATAACAAAATGAGATGCAGAAAAACACAATTAAATTAAAATAAGTAAATAAAACAAGAGTAATGATACCAGATACCAAATAAAAAAGCCAAAGATAGAGATAGCTCTTTAATTTATTTAAAATAAATGTGTAGAGTATATTTGAGCTCTTCTATTTCTATCAAATCAAACAAAATAAAGTTTAAAAAATGTGCAAAAGTAGTATTGTATGTGAACTTAAACCCAAATGGGGAAATATATGTGATACCCCACTGCAGTCAGCATGTCGTTGTGTCCCTGAGACACTTCACCCCAAAGGGCTCCTGTGGGGATTGTCCACAGTATTGAGTATGTAAGTCGCTTTGGATAAAAGCGTCTAACATGTGACATGTGATGCAATATATCAGCAGCATAACCTAACTATTCTCTCATTTGAAAAAACAAAAACCTAACTCCTCTTTTTTCTTTTTTTTCAGGGGAAGGAGCTTTTAACCCAGAAGCTCCCAGCGTGGCAGCAGGCGTGTGCCGAGCCCAACAAGCTGCCGGACCGAGCCATGTTCCTGGCCCAGCAGATGAGCGGGGTTGCGGGCGCCATGGTTCCCATCACACATCATCCAGGCATGCCCCTCTCCGAGCCCCTCGCTGGGGCTAAACCCCTGCCTGTGCCCCCAGAGCTGGCCGCCCTCAGGGCCAGTGGAGGCATGGGACAGCAGGTCGGTTCCTCTAGCCTTAAACATTCATTTAGTCATACCTGTGCCCACTGTAGTATTTATAGCATTTAATAAGTAGGTTGTTATAGAAACAGTAGCAATTTAATGTTCCAATGCAATTGTTTCCTTGGTGTGTGGATCCACATAATGCAATAAAATCATTTGTTTTTTTCTAGAATGCTTCACAAAAGGGCTGCAACTACTTATTAATTATTCATTTTTTTATCTTGAAACTGTTGTCGCTACATGACAATGTACAGAATAACAATAATAATTGAAGACAGAATAGCGGAATAACAGCCTCAGAGGCTGGAAAAGCAAACATTCTGAAATGGTTTATCTATTTCTGCTTGAAACGTTAGTAAAACGATAGATATATTCTCAAACAGGTGCCTGTCACTTTTCTAAATACTGAATAGTCAATACGTTTGCTAGCCATTGTGAGGCTCATATCCCATATAATGCATTCCCTAGCCCTAACTTAAGGTAAAACCTGCCTCAGAACTAAAGCCCTTCAACTTCAACGAAAATGTACTTAGGGGCCCTATTCGGCTCATTTTGAGGTTCATATTTATATTTTGTGCCTCTACTGGTTTCAAGGTTTCATGGTTTCAAGGCTTTTATTGGTCTTACGTGCATAGTTAGTGTAGTTATGACAATGGAAATCTTAGGTCACAGGCTCCTCCAACACAATTAAACAGATACACACAAAAAATAGTGCAAGTAATTAGTAAATACAAAAGGAAAAATAGTAAAATAGTGCAAGTGATTGGAATGATATATTAGATAATTAATTTCTAAGTAGCAGCCAGATAAATGTTATGATGTTGTTTCAAGTTCAGGTGTTTAATAGTCGAAACAATATCATACCATTTATCTGACTGCTACTGTGACATGTCTCCATGCTTTAATGTTCAAAAAGCTCTTTATGTTTCTCAAACAGCCTGTGCTGCAGCACCTCTTTTCACCCTCTGTCTGAAACCAGAGCCCAGTCTGCTCTGATTGGTTAGCTGGCTGGCTCTGTTGTGATTGGTCATCCGCTTAGAGATGTCCCGCCCCTTAGCCATGTGTTGGCGCACTAGCTTATACAATCGCGAGTTCTACATAGTGATGTCATTATGTTAAGGAAGTAAACAAAGGAGTCCAATGGAAGCTTTTCAGGCAGGGGGGAGTGTGTGGGAGAAAATCTCCCACTGGATGGAACCTATACAACACATCAGGAAAGGGAAAACCCCAAAAAGCATAATTGGGCCCCTTGAATTAAGTCTTGACCTTCGAACAGCCCTTGAAAAAGTGAAAGCAAGTGAATCTAAAATGTCCTCCGTTAGCGCTTGTACCCACTTTCAGCTCTCATGGTTACAAATTCTAATCGACTCTCATGAAGTTAGAAGCACCCAAACACAGCTGAGTGCTGTCTAATAGGATTCTTAATAAGTACCTGGAGTGGTTCGAGGACTGTTTCCCCCGGATGTGACTGTTGCATCATGGGATCCCTCAGAGCATCCTCAGGCAACTCTTGTGAATGCAAACTAACTTGTTAGCGAACCATGCTAATTAGCTCGTTGCACAGAAAATAACTTCCTCACTTTCCGGGCTCTCTCTCACCCTGCCCCTCCGGCAGGCCTGGCTCCTGAAGAAAAAGAGCGAAACTTCAAGATTTGATGAAAGACGCCTCAGTTTGGCTCGAGCTTTTAATTAAAAAACCCCGGTACAAATTCAGTGGTGTTTTATGTTCCCAGATTAAACACACTTTGAAACTCTTTGCAGACTCCCAGTAGTCATTCCATATGTTAATCTTTAAAGCACCATACATTCATTTATAGTATTTTCATTAACCAGCATTTCCTGACCTCGATCCACTCTCCATCTAGTTCATTATTATTAATGAGCTGTTGGGTGTTATGTAACAGCTTTAGGTAAAGAGAGATGAGTTTTCTAATTGCCTGTATGCTAATGTCCCCATCTCTGCAGAGGCTGATGGGAGGTGTGGACGGGGGGATGCCAGTGATGAACGGCACAGCGGGGGCTCACGGAGGGGAGGACTACCAGCAGTGGATGGAGGGCAAGGTAGCCCAGGGGAAGGCCTCCCCGCAGACCCAGCGGCACGGGGGGGAGGTGTACTCCAACACCCTGCCTGTGCGCAAGGTCGCCCCCGCCAAGAGCAAGACCACCCTGAGTAAGGACACGTATTGTTTATTTGGCAAGGGATTTGGAAGGATGAAGAACACCAGGAACAGTTAATGAAAGCAGTTTTATAGTTAACTTTACATAGGCATACTGCGTTTCATAAATGTTTTTATACTTTGACTATACTTCCATAAGTCTCTAATCTCTCTAGAGATTTGCACAATTGATCTATAAAGCAAAACATGTTATACAAAAATACGTATCCAGAGGTTGTTCCAAAAAAAAGAAAGTACAAGCTAAGAGTAATGAGCATATTTAGAATATATAATCAGAAAAAAAAGAAAGCAAAACAAAACCCTAAAAAAAGTTCATTTCAGGAATCCTTTTGAAAAGGTCAGTTAAAACATGTAATACCAAAATAAAAAAGATATCCTTAAGGATGGTAACAAATATAAACTGATTATTGAGCACTGGTATTTATATTAATATTTGTTTGTGACTTTTTGGTGCATATAATATACATATCTTTTATTTTGCTTATTTTCTTCCTTTTTAAAAAAATATTTCTAAATATGTTTGATTAATTAATTGACAATTTTTCAAAAATAATTGATGTAAAAAGGGTTAGGGTAATAAGCCAAAACTTAAGCCTATGCTTTTTCAGTCCGTGTTATTATATAAATGGAAATTGACTAAACTAAACCTTTTTTATCAAAGCAAATATTCTATATTTAATTTAGGTGGTATTTCTTGAGTTATCACATCTAAAAGATAAAAGCCATTAAAAGAGCTATTGGAATACATCTACCTGGGTGTCTCCTAACCTGTGGAGTTTATCTTATCTTATTTTTAATAAAAATAGTCCAAAGTAAGCAGGATTCCAAGGAGATGTGATATTAAAAAGGAGAAAGGGATATAAGAAGTAAAAATAGATATAGGACAAGGAGGACATTTGAAAAAAAGAGATTCAGAAACTGGAGTATATGCAGCTGATGTGGCTACACATCATGTTATACACTGTTCATTAGAGAAAGGGAGACTCAAAGCTCTCCCCCCCCCCCCCCCCCCCCCCCCCCCGTTATCCAGCGGAGACCCGCACCCTGCCCCGGTCCAGCTCCATGGCAGCGGGGCTGGAGAGGAACGGCAGGACCCGGGTCCAGGCCATCTTCTCCCACACAGCCGGGGACAACAGCACCTTGCTCAGCTTCTTCGAGGGCGACGTGATCACCCTGCTGGTCCCCGAGGCCCGGGACGGGTGGCACTACGGGGAGAATGAGAAGACCCGGATGTGAGTGACTCTGAGCTGCAGACTGTAGAGTGAGGCATAGACAAAATAACTCATAACTCCACAGATTCTAGTTGAATTTGGTGGGAAATCATGCCATTGCTGTTTAATAAATAAATAAAAAATGGTATGTATTTATTTAGAACAAAATAATAAAACCCATTTGTCTCTTTGAAGTTTGAACAAATCAACGAACCTGAATGACAGTGTAATAAAAAATAAAAATACAACAACATGTATCCCATTGACATGTTAATGTAAAATACACTTTGAAAACAAATGTTAATTAAAATATATATATATATATATATATAATGTAGGACCAAGGTGGATATTTACCTTTACCCCCTACTTTATATAAAGTATAAATATACTAGACCTGCCGCAAGGAATATTCTGTGAATTCCACGGATTTAACACATTTTTCCACCATATTTGATACATCAAAGTTGGATTTGATTTGAAAAAGTTGTATATTATTTTGCTAATATCTGGTGCCTCCTCACCCCTTCAGGCGTGGCTGGTTTCCCTTCTCCTACACCTGCGTGATCTCTGACGGGGACAGCAACTCCATGAGGCAGCTCCGAGTACACAAGTATGTTTTGAAGATGTTACTCTTGTACAAAGAGAATAAGTCATTACCTCACTGATCATTACCCAAAATCAGTTTTGTTGGCATATTTATATGCTTTGTGTCATTTTTTATACCTATCTTATTTTCATGAAACTTCATTATTGACTTTTTTTTATTTTATTTTATAATGATAATGATTGAAGGAAGAAGTAAGGTGTCCCTCGACAGTCTAAGCCAGGGGTCGGCAACCCCTGGCACCATAACCAGTGGCACACTAGGAATAAGTGGAATAAGTTTGCAAAATATTTAAATTTTATTTTCGGATCCTGAACGAGACCGCCGCCAGAGCGCGTCTCCCCGTTCCCTGCAGAAGGAAGCCATGCACGCAGCCCCCCTCTCTTTAACTCCAGGCGACTTTCTGCCGCTTTCCTCCGTGGTGCTGATCGTTTCACCACGGAGGAAAGCACTTCACTAATTGCAGTACCCATAAGGAGCTGTACAAATGCCGCAGTTTTTGCGTGGCGATCGATATCGGCCGATACTCACTCTCTGCCGATCGATCAGTGCTCTCTAAAAATGCCGATCACGAGAGACACTTTTCTCAGTGCGTGGCAAAACAAGCTCGCCGAAATGGCTTCACCAGTCTGGCATTATTTTAAGGTGCCCGAAAATGACAATAAAATAGCGGTATGCAACGTGTGTGAAGCAGAAATCCTGCAGCTCCGCCCGCTGTGACGGACCGCTGAGCGGAGCAACACACACACTAAGAGTTAGACCTAACACACTTAGCTATTTCATCTAGGCCTACCTCTGGAACTAATTATAAATATATTTATTCTTCACTGTCGGGTTACTTCATTACTGGATCAGTGAGCTGCATGAGATACTGACAGGCTGTCAGGAGAGAGAGAGAGAGAGGGAGAGAGGAAAAGAGAGCGCTTCCGCTCATTTCTCCCGTGTTATTATCCAAAGTGAATGTAAACTTGAATAATGTACTTCATTTGAATGTAACAATTATGTTGGTTGTTGTTTGTGGAAGCTCCAGTGAATGAGCCCCATTAACTGAGTTTTAAACATCACTTTAAATGGAAGATCCCCATAGGCCCCGCCCACTCGATCGGATCAGCGATCGGAGCATCCCTAATCAAAGTTGCGCTGACAGGTCCACACATGCTTCCCCGCAGCAAGGCTCCCCCGCCCTCCTGTTGACAGTTCACGAGCATCGAGCTCTTCCCCCCCCCCCCCCCCCCCCCCCCCCCCCCCCCGTTGATAATTCACGATTGTCGGCACGCTGATAATTTTTTTTTTTTTTTAATGGCACTTCATATCAAAAAGGTTGCCGACCCCTGGTCTAAGCCTATAGCAGCAAAACTAGGGGCTGGATCTAATCAGCCCTAACTAAGCTTTATCAAAAAGGAAGGTCTTAAGCGCACTCTTAAAAACGGATAGGGTGTCTGCCGCCCGAACACAAACTGGAAGCTGATTCCACAAATGTGGAGCTTGATAAGAAAAGGCTCTGGCTCCCATTGTACTTTTAGAGACTCTAGGAACAACCAACAACCCTGCATTCTTGGAACGCAATGCCCTAGTAGGACAGTAGGGTATAATGAGTTCTTTAAGGTAAGATGGCGCCTGCCCATTTGTAGGCGGGAAGAAGAATTTTAAATTATATCCTGTGTTCTATAGGGAGCCAGTGTAAGGCAGCCAGAACAGGAGTAATGTGGTCCCTTTTCCTAACTCTGGTTAGAACACGAGCTGCAGCATTTTGAATCAGCTGAAGCGACTTGACTGACTTCTTGGTACACCCTGATAATAAAGAGTTACAATAATCCAGCCTTGAAGTAACAAATGCATGGACTAGTTTCTCTGCATCGTTTTGAGGCCAGATATGCCTGATTTTGGCAATGTTACGTAGATGAAAAAGCTACAAAGCTTAAAGCTTGTCATTTGTAAAACCTTCTTGTGAACAATTGAGAATTAAACAACCAATAATAATAGGTAATGTCAAAGCAACCACCCACTGATGTCTCCCCTGCAGGTAAACACCCACACGCCAACATGTTGGTCCCTGATTGGACCAAGAAGCATTCATTCAGGGGAAAACATGTTTATGTCCTGATGTTTTCCACTCCTGTGTTTCAAGCCTCCACGGGAAGAGCAGCAGCACGGGGAACCTCCTGGAGAGAGAAGACATGGCGGTCCCTGTCCCTGATTACGGCGTCCACTCCCACATGGCGGCACAGAGCGCTGCTGCGCTGCACGGCAGACAGCAACGCCCCTACAGCGTGGCCGTGCCAGGCTTCCCACAGGTGGGGGGTCTGCAAAACAAGCACACAAGCACACAAACACACACTCTGACACACACCCACACACACCCACAGATGACACACAAGCTAAGCCGTCGCACGAATCCTGGCAGAGATCAGCACTTGTCTGTCTCAGGAAGTTTAGAAGTAGCTTTTCCCTGCGTGCTGCTGACCTGAGATATATAGGAATAGCTTTGCTTTGACAGGCTGTCTCTTCCTTTACAAGTAATCTGAGTATTTTTTTGCCAAAGCTAGCAGAAGATGCTCCGCTACATTAGCTTACCTAGACACAGATATTCGTTCTCGTTCACTTCACATGTCCCTATTTACGGGAGGTTGGGATGTGGCACATCTCAGATTGGAGCAGTTCACTCTGCTGCCCCGCTGAGGGAAGAACTTCTGACAGACAGTTGATAACAGAAGAGGAGGAAGAGAGAAGGTTGCCGTGGCAATAAAGGAAGGAGGATTAATTTTTATAAAGAAGGCAAAACCAGAAGTGGATTTATGCAACACTGAACCTGTCCTTCCTACGCCTCCCCTGGAACATCACATGTGGGCGAAGCTTAATTGCTCAGCAGTCATGTAACAACTTAAACTGCCTCTTCCGCCTCACTGCCTGTAGGGATGGAAACATGTCTGCTGACATTTAACACGTTTTTATTTAGGTTTATGTCAGTGGCGTTTTCTCCTGGAGGCCAAGGGAAGCCAGGCTTCCCCTGTTTTTTCAGATTGTAGTTATAATTTTAATAAATAAATAAAAACACTTTGTTTAGTTTCGGAAATTCTTTGTTGTGTGTTGCTGCCGGCCCGTCTCTCCCCCATTCTCATTGAGTATTTTACAAAGAGTGAAACAGCACCCCTGTAGATGTTATGGTGAAACAGTAGATTGCACTCTCTGTTGCGAGAGGAGGCCAGCCGAAATTGGCTTCCCTTGGTGAAAAAAAATGGAGGGATTGACCAATCAGACAAGGCTCAGGTGATGCCCCTGCCAACCTGTGATTGGTCAGGGCCATGCCAAGGCCTCACAATCCAATCAAATCGCATCAACTTAGTGTTGCAGTGACGCATCCTAAAACCCGGAAGTAAGCTGCGCTCGGTTTCTCGAAATAAGGTCAGTGGAAAACGAACCTGTTAGATAAATGCAAGTTTTGTTCAGTCGGATAATATCCACATGTCTACCCTACTTTTATAATTTTCGAATCATAAATCTAATCGATAAAAGATAGATAGCGTCACTGCATCACTCTCACCGCCGTTAGAAAGTAGCAAGCAACTGAAGCAAGTGCAATTATGGAGGGTGGAGATGTGGAGTATTTACTCAAAAATAATTGTACTAAACTTCCGCTACAGCAGCAACAACAAATACAATCTGATGACAGGCCAATGCCCAAACTGGAGCTGTGTACAGAGAGGAAAACAGGAGCGAATCGGACGTAAAACGTTAAAGGTCTCCTGATTTAGTTTGTGAATGAATGCTTATTAGAGTTTGGGCTGGAGAGTGCGTGCGGACCTGTCGGTTAGATAACAGGCGTGTGTAAGTCCTGCATCTGTATGATGATACAAATGATACCGGCTGCTGTAATCACTCATCTGGTTACGTTATTACATTGACCACCACACCCCCGACCCAAAAGAAAGGACGTATTATTGGCTTCCCCTCATTTTTTCCCCACGCCACGCTACTGGCTTGTGTACACCTGGAAGTGTCTGCAATGCTTTGAGTGGATCATTTGTAGGCCTACGTTTTTGTAGGTGGTTACAACTCCCAAAATCATTGAATTGAGTATATTTGAATACGCATTTAGGATTTATTTCACATCACTGATGAATAAGTACTAAAAAAATTATTTTAAATATTGATTAATGGAAATAACTGACACAAAAGTAGTAGTAGCAGTAGTTACTAACTAGGCAGATCAGACATCAAAAAGAGCAATATGTTATTTAAGTCATAATGGACAACATCAAATATGTTATATGTTTTTATTGAAAGACATCATTTTATCGTTTCCAAGTGTAGTCATACAGTTTATCCGTCTTGATTTCCCAGCTTCTGTAGGAAAAGCCTTATAAGGTCACTGTGAGATTCTGATGCATCACTTCCACCGTGTTGCTTTACTGCCACCTGCAGTCTGCTGTGGTCATTGCACTTATCAGTTTTCTGATGGAAAATTATTTGTAATGTTGGTTTATAATAAAATTAGGGCTGTCAAACGATTAACATTTTTAATCAGATTAATCACAGCTTAAAAATTAATTAATCATGATTAATCACCATTCGAACTATGTCCAAAATATGCCATTTATTTATGTATATTGTTGTGGGAATGGAAAGATAAATGAAAGAAGGCGGATATATCCATTTAACATACTGTAGGCCTACAGTATTTATGTTTATTATAACATTTTTCTGCGTGTCAAAATGAAAGACAACCCACACACCTATCAATCATCAAACCGTGGGGTCTTAATTCATTACGTGTTGATTTCTATCAACGGGGGAGTACTTCAGGAAAGTCGACAGAGGGGGGGCGGCGGCTAGTGGAGTACTTCGTGACCACAGAGTGTGAACGTTGTGATCAGCTGTTTTAGCGCAGTTCTCCAGTGAAGGGGGGGGGAGTCTCCCTCCGCCGCCGGTTGGCGTAGTTTTGGCACAATTCCGTTGTACAGACCGACGTTAACAGCAGCCCTGTCTGTGCACACGGAGACCGACTCTGTCGTCCGGTGATCTAACCGCCTTCTGGAAAAGCTTCACAAGTACGTCGGTACGCAAATGCGCTTTGTGACACAAGTGACGGTACGCATTTCAGATTACGCACATAACCTGCGTACCAGTTATGTGCACCCCGTACTACAGCAAAAGTATTCTCCGTCGGGACTTCCTGCAACAACATCACGCCGGTATCAAAGATGTTCTATTGAGAAGACGATCACTACGTGACAAAAGTTTTCAAAACCGTGGCTACTGAAATCAATCTTACTAACTGCTGTCTGTGCAATTTACTCCGCGAGTTGGCAGACTTTATTTTGCTTCCTTTAACATCATTTTTCATGGTGGGGCTAAGCCATTTCTTGGTATGGGTGTAGCCTACCCCAGCCATACCCTGGCGCTGCCACTGGTGGCACGTATGGGGCGGGCCATTAAATGCGTTAAATATTTTAACGCAATTAATTCAAAAAATTAATTACCGCCGTTAACGCGATAATTTTGACAGCACTAAATAAAATATTTGTAAAATCAATCATCTGTCTGTCTTTACAGCAAGGAGCTGAAGAGTACGAGCCCCGCTTCCCTACAAGGTAAGAACCACTTGTTGTAGTTAATACGTTTTTAATGTTGTAATGATATAAAAATCAAGTTGAATTCATGTTCAGTAAGTTCAAGCAGACAATCATCAAGAATGTGTTTTTGGTAATGGCTCTGGGATCTTCCATATTGGCCATATATTCAGTATGTTGAAAAGCAGAAGATGAGTTGAGGGATTGGGATGTTTTAAAGACCTGACCCTGATAACACACAACCAGCAGAACACACCACATTTCTTTTGTGTTTGTTTTACCTTTGTGTTCTTTTACGTTTGCATTCTCCTCTGTTTGCCCTCGTTTGATAGGATACGATAAGTAATCAAATAATATAGTGTTTATACTGCATATTGGTAGAAGACCAGTTGTGTTATTGGTTAGTTTGGTTTCTGTCAAAAGCTTAAGTTGGATTAAGTTTTCTTTTTGTTAACAAAACACCCAAGCCTCCCAGCTCCTTCTAATGCTCCACCCTGGCACCATGCAGCTTCAGTAGCGCTTCCACCTGCTAACTGCACACCTACCCAATCCCTGTTAGCTCACCCTGCTTCTTATTCATGGTTCATTTATGGTATAAGTTACGTTATAGTATGGGGTTAATTTCTCATGTTGGAGGGTGGATGTAGCTCCGCCTCTCCTTGTCCTGGTTGTGTTTGCTGCTGTTTGTCCTGAGCCAGCCCACCTGGAAGTCTGCTCCTCTCTCTGTCCACAGTTCCACAGAGGGCAAATTGATTTCGACAGTGTGAGGACAGACAGACACTGAGCCTGACGATGCGATAGGACTGTCCTCGCTGCCCCTCAACCAACCCCCCCCCTCTCATCCTCTCCCCCGCCTCCTAACCTCCAGTTTACAGCAATACACTCTCCCTGAGCCAATCAATGCAAGGAAGAAGCTTTGGTCTGTATCTCCCCTGTCTCTCTGATCTCCCTTCTTCCTCCCCCCAACCCCGCTCTGAGCTAACTGGCCAACAGGGGGCCACTGGTGAAGCCGAAACCAGAACAACACAGACTGTGCCATCCGAATAATCAAAACCAATGGGATGGACATTTTCTCTGAGGAAAATGTATCTTTTGCTTGTCTTTCATGCATGTACATTTCTTTTACATATCGCTGGGGATTATATTTCCTCACCAAAAGGAACCTGATTTCCACCAATGTAAGTGCTCTCCACCAGAATGATAATGTGAAGGATATGTGAATCAGGGTGTGAAATGAAGAGGATTTATCGTGTATTAAAAAAAGGCATTACAATCGATATTTTACTGGGTCTTTCAGTATTTAACAATACTTTTAACCTTTTCATGCTGTGAGGTTTTGTATTCCTCTGACATAAGAGGCCGTGCATCACGAGAAGTGAACTGCTCATGTAAATGTGTTGTGAAACAGAGACTACAGTATGTGATGGGAATGTTAACTGTACATACATGTGCCATACAGAAGTACGTGTCATAAAGTATCTATGAGTTCATTAAAAATTGCACCTTATAAAAGTAATAATCTATATTTCTGACTCTGTGAACAAACTCACTGTAACCTTTTCAGTATCAGCCTTTGATCTTGTTGGGGGGGACACTGAGCTCACACTAAGCTAGGGTCTGGGGTCCTCTCTATCTATTGCAGTGTGTGAATGTCATTCCAAGGCTGGGTGGGGTCAACTGTCCCTCACCCCTTTATGAGATGCAAGGCTCTGAGTTGAGTGCGGAAACCATTCGTTTATAAATCATCAGCACAATTGTTAAAGGGGCCCTATTGTGCTTTTTGGGGGGTTTCCCTTCCCTTTAGTGTGTTGTATGTTTCTCTTGTGCATGTAAATGGTCTGCAAAACTAAAATCCCAAAGTTCTCACCAGGGGGAGTTTTCCTCCCACACAAACTCCCCCCTGCCTCCATTGGACTACTTTGTTTACTTCCGTAACATAATGACATCACTATGTAACACTTGCGCTTCTATTGGCTAGCCCTCTAACACATTGTACATGATAGGCTAATGGGCGGGACATCTCTAAGCGGTTGATCAATCACATCAGAGCTGGCCAGCTAACCAATCAGATCAGACTGGGTGAAAAAAGGCAGTATGAAAAAAATAAAGAGATTTTTGGCATGTCACAAATATGAACCTGAAAATGAACATCATAGGGCATCTTTAACTAACTTTAGTTAGAGTTGAAGCGCTTTAGTTCTGAAGCAGGTGTTACCTTAAATTAGGGTTAGGGAATGCATTATGAGATAGGAGCCTCTCAATGGGCAGGCAGTATGAGAGAAATAAAGAGCTTTTTGAACATGAAAGCATGGAGACATGTCCCGGTAGAGCAGGGGTGTCAAACTCAAGGCCCGGTGGCCAAATCCGGCCCGCGACTTCATTTTATGTGGCCCCACAAGAGCTTGCAAAAAATATGATATTTTTATTATACGGTTACATGCCGATTTACAGAAGCTTGTTGCCCATACATGGAGCACAATGCATCTCAAATTTGACTTTTTCTCAGAATGTGTTTTTTCTTTTTAAATCATTTTGTGACATTCTCACTGAAGAGACTTGCAATTATTTGCCGTGGACTTCTGCTTTCAGACATAGTTAATTACTAAGTTATTACCCTATCTGATAATAATCCAATGCAGAGGCAATAATGTAATATAATACATTATTTGATATTAAATATTTATATATGTATTTTTTTATAGTCTTAAAGTTACAACCGGCCCTTTGAGTACAACCATAATGCAAATATGGCCCGCAATGAAATTGAGTTTAACACCCCTGCGGTAGAGGCACTCATTAACATTAACCTGAACTATTTGCTGCCTCCTGCTTCTTGGTCCAGCTACCAGATGTCAAATATTTATTCGGGTTTGTTTACTAAGATTTTTTTTCAGAATAAATGATTACATTTGGAGAAATGAATTGGTGGATTGATAATATTCTAAATATAATATTAATAAAGTTGTCTCACTGGCTAGGTTAATACTTCCTTTAAAAAAAGAAAAGACAACTCTTGTTTGCTTTAGATCTTTACATTTAGCCTCTTCGTGTTGGTTTGCTCATATCATAGTGTCTCGTACTGTTACACAACACAAGTATCACAATCATGAAACCACATCCACCCTTTACTGCTCAGCCTCTGCAGCCTTGAAGGAGAGGAGTGGATGTTATGTTTGAACCTCACTCAGCCTTCTTGTTCTCCAGTGAGGAGAAGCATCCTGAAGATAGAACAAGTGTTTCTGTGTCTGACTCCCTCTGTGCTAAATAAAGACGCTGGTCTGCCCGTCTCTGTCGGTCCACTTTATACTCTGTTCATTCTAACTGCTGTTAAGAACAATATTCAGTTGAATATTGAAAATGTTATGAAGTGTTTACAAAAATCTTATCCTCACACTGTGTTGACCAAAGAGAGGAGATACAAAATGAAGACTGTTCGCCGCTTTTCTAAAATCTAATATGGAGTCTTATGAGTCTAATGAGTCTTAACATAAGTTTTTCTTCAGATTATTGAAAGAAGAAAAGGGAGGGGCAGACACTTCTGTGTAATGGTTTTCAGTTCTTTCAAGAGAAATACTTTAAAACTCAAGTCAGGATGGACGCTTTTGCCATCTAAGTGTTTTCCTTGCTGCACATGTCTGCTCTGTCTTCTCTGCTTGTGTGACCTAACACCCGTCTCCCCCTCAGTTTGCCAACCCCCCTTTTATCAATCTCTGTTTTGATGACTTTAGAGACAAGTCGAGCGCAAACGACTGGGAGCTGCCAGTGTTTCTTCTTTCTCCACTCAAATAAGTCCAACATATGACAGACAGACACTGTATAGCTCACCGACCACCTGTCGGCAAATCACTTCTACATCAACTGATGCTTTTATTTTAATGTAAATGAACAACATATTGCAGAGAATCTACTGCACCAAACAGTTTAACATTGATCACCTCAAATGTAAGGGATACTCTAAAAAGTATGAAATACAGGAATTCAGCTGAAAATGTTTGGTTGTTTCTGTTCATTGGTTTTAGAAGGCAATTATATCAAGACAATTACAATTTGTTTTGCCTCTGAAGGTCTTTTGAATTGTCTTTAATTTGCCTAGCCAAACCTTTTTTTCTTCTGCTTATATCCGCCTTTTAAAAGGAATTATCTTTATTTCATAGTCATCTTAAGCATTAGGTTAAACATCATCTTAAACAGCTGGTGATCATCATAACCCCCGTGTGTGTGTGTGTGTGTGTGTGTGTGTGTGTGTGTGTGTGTGTGTGTGTGTGTGTGTGTGTGTGTGTGTGTGTGTGTGTGTGTGTGTGTGTGTGTGTGTGTGTGTGTGTGTGTGTGTGTGTGTGTGTGTGTGTGTGTGTGTGTGTGTGTGTGTGTGTGTGTGTGTGTTTCACGGCATATCCATTTTATATTGCCAGTGTGTTTTATTTGCATGTCTGTTTTATTTTGATGTCTTGAATTGTATTAATTAATTTGTCTTGAATATTCTTAGGTTTATATTTTAATGTTAACATATATAAATTGTGAGTGTGTAGATCTGTTTGGGTTTCTGTGCACGTCCTCTTGTTTCACTTCAACATAATTAAATAGTTTCTTTATATACTTCACTAGAACATGAACAAGCAAGATCATCAACCTTTACAGCATTGTTTCTTAAAGTGGGGCATGCGGGTCAAGTGTGGCCCTTAGAAACATGTTGTGAGGCCCCTCAACTTGACACAAAGGCACTCTTAATATTTAAATATATTGGAGTCAATTTCAATAATGTCTCTTCCAATATCTTGCACTTTAAACACTGCTTGCATCAAGTTTGAAATGAAGGCTCCCAGTTGTCTCAGACATGGTCTCATTTGTTAATATCCTGAATCCTAACACAACTTGGGCTTATTAAATATGCGTACTGTAAAGCCATGTAAGAACACACTGTATTTAGAAATAACAAGTCATTGCCCTGTATAGTATTAGAATATAATGACTATTGGTGTTGACCCATGGGGACTGTCTCTGCCTTTCAGTACCGGGCCAGATTACGCTCGCTTTTGAGTGACCGAAACTCCTCGTAAGTGACTGACCCTGGGTCTGTGGGTCTTCATGCAATCACTTCTTCTTCCAATGTCTCCATTATCACAAAAACTGCTTCTTCGTCGTGTTGGCTTTGGGTTATTTCCTTTCTTTGTGTGATGTGATGTGACTGCACTCTGATTGTGGGGTATAAAACTACTTGTACATTTCAGGGAATGTATTGCATGTTTCAGCATCGTGTTTTACCTCCTTTCTTTTTCTTCTGGCATGACTCATGAGATGTTCTGTGACCTTTTCTCACTTTCGCATCATGCATGGTTTGCATTCAGTTTTTAAAAACAAAAACAAGCTTCTTTACTATATTTCCTCTCTTCCTCCCAGTGATGATCCGCCCATGGAGCCGCCTGTTGAGGCCCCAGCCAAACCGCCCCTTTCTGATGATGAGGATGAAGTGGAGGAAGAGCTGCCTGATGAAGCACACTACGACTCCTTGGAGAAGGCCTCGACCCCCCCGGGGGAGTACTGAGCCCTGCCTCAGGTTAAACTAGCTGCAGGTACATCAATGGTGCCCAACTGTACCCCCTCGCCTCAGCTCTGATTCAACCACAGAACTAAATAGTGCTACTTTAAAACAAAGAAATGACTATGACCAGCAAATGAACGGCACAAACAACAATGTACAGTTATCTCTGTTTTAGTTGAGAGATCATGTGATTAAAAGCTAGAATTGATTCATATTTGATCTTCCAGCAAGGAAAGCACTTTAAATTAAAAATGTTCCCTGATTGTTATCCTCCGAGTTGTATTTCTGTAAAAGCATCTGCTCACATACTGTACATGGGTAATAGAATGGACATCATCGAAGTTATTTCACTTTTTTATTTTTGGAACATAGTGTATGGGGTGATAGGAAAATACGTTTTCCAGCGTGGGCAACTTGAGTTCTTGGCTCATTTGCAACGTATCACTACCTAAACACTGATGACTGATTACTCTTGTAGACTCCATGGATCTGGTTGTTCTGTAAAGTCACGTGACAACATCTGTGCTTTTTCAAATGCAGCTTCCTCCCCTTCCTTGTCAACTGAAGGGCTTCAATGTTGGTACGCTTCACATCCTGGCAGGTGTTTCACCTTTTTAGCCTCAACTGTTCACACTGCCTCCTCACAGGGCTAGCATACCAACTGGTGTTGGTGCAGAGGTATTGCACATATTAGTCTGGACCAAAGTGGATAATCTAAAATGGAAGAGATCATGTGAAACACATAAGAGATTGTATACTAGCCAGAAATCTCCAGTATCTGTGGAATAATATTGGGCTCATTTATGGCATCAAAACTGATAAGCATACTACTCATAGTACTGTATATTCAACTATTTGTATACTCACAGGAAATCTATATTCATTAATAACATTAATAAGCACTGCAGGTGTTTGTACCTATAATAATGTCCTGCCGGTTTAGTGATTACATGAATATACAAGCAGTTTGTAAGGTCTTCTTAAAGAAATTATTTCATCAGGTAAATTAAATAATACAATCAATGAGTAATTGCAGCGTCTTTGGTTAAGATCACTTTGATGTAAAGTAGAGCAATTACACTGATACAGGTTCGTATTCAATCTTGGCCGTTCGAATAATGTTTTAAGGGTGTGTTCAAATTATTAAAAAAACATTTTTCACTTACCTCTGGTGGTATCTTCTAACGTATACAGTCTCTTAATAATTAGTGCCACTCAGTGGAGATGAATACAGTTTAATTTGAGGTTTTCACAACACTAATAAAGAACAGCCACAAACAGTGTCCTGTTCGAAGAAATACATCCAATTGTGACTGTTGTCCGTGGAATAACCAGAGTGACAAGCAAAGCATTTCTGTAACAGGTTGCTGTTGGAATTTTCTAAAGATGAATATGTAATGGCTGTGAGCACTTCAAATTAAGTCCCATTTCCCTCCATTGTGTTGTTTTTATGTAACAGACAGTAAACTTCACAATATATCTTAACATCTGGAGAAGAGACACCACTAAAGGGAAATCGGAAACGTTTTTTAATGACACAAAATAAAAACCCGGTTTCAGTGTAGCTCTCAGTGTTACATGAAGACTAACAGTGAAAATATGACTGACATTCAAACCTGTATCATGTGATTTATTGTCAAACTTTTTCTGTTCAATTAAAATCTGAGAATAAAGAATCAAGAGTGTACCCACTTTGTGCCAAATGTCTTATATTTACTCTTATACACGAATCACTACATTATATTTGTGTTTTTCAATATGGCATTACATCGGGTGATCAAAAGAGTCCCACATTCTAATCACTGTTAAGTTTACAAATACCTATAGACCTATAAGGAAATATGACGTCATCAACAGCAAGTCGTCCATCTTTGAAGGATGCTAGCAACCACAACCTATTGAATTAACCTCTACGGCTAACGAAGTAGCGTAGCTTTTAACGTTTTTAACATCGTAGGTAGGCACTGTTATGACACTGGCTGTAACAGCCACTCCTATAAATAAACAAACAAACATGACATGGGCCTTCAAATATTTAATATTTTTAAATTGCAATGTAGGACACTAATTCCAAATGCCAAAAGGGCACCGACCTCACTAACAGTGATTGGCCCATTATTTTCTTGCTATCCTCCAAAGATGGCTGTGATGCCCCAAAATAAAACGTGGTTCGTGTTCCCTATTGCAAAAATATCTACAGCAACAACATTTATTCCCTTTTTCCCTCTCTGTTTACAGGAAGTTGTGGAGCTCGGTGAGTGAAGGCAACTCACGTTGTCCTGAGTCATCCCCAGAGGTGGGAGAAGTACTCAGATCTTTTATTTTATAATATTTTATTTATAGTTTTCAGGTTTATGTAACAGTTAAACATGACAACAACAACAAAAAACATGTAGCATAAAAACGCAAAGCATCCCCCCCTCCCCCCAAAATAACAAGACAAACAAAAACAAACAAGTCAGTGCATAAATCAAAACACAACGAGATACTACACACACACAGTGTTACTGTATATCCAGAGGCCTGTTGGCTAACCAGATGATATACCTATGGTGGCGTCAGTGATGCATCTTTAAATTCTAAATAAGGCTGCCAGATCCTCAGAAAGGTGTTATATCTAAGACTATATGTGATCTTTTCAAGAGGAATACAACTGTTCATTTCTGAAGACCATCTATCAATGAGGAGAGGAGAGTCAGATTTCCATGTTAGTGTTATGCATTTCCTCGCCACACATAAAGCAATTTCCATACATTTAATTTG